CCATTTTAAATCAACATGTTTTAATATCTAAACTTGTGATCAAAATACTTCAGAAAAAAAAAATTTCAAGTGTGATCCAAATAATACAACAAAAAATACAGAAAATTTGCTTTGAGATGCATCATTTATCAAGTATTCAATGTTCAGACGTTAATGTTCAACATAAAATGCAGATATTCCTTCTATGATTTTTAGTCTAATTACAGACTCCAATGCTTTTTATCAATATGTAGTTTGAGTATTAACTCAGACCATTTTATTGCTACTTCTTACTAAGAAAATGTAAATAAATAAATAAATAAATAAATAAATAAATAAATAAATAAATAAATAAGCATATAGTTAAATGCTTGAAAACTTAAATGGAAAGTCTGAATTTTTTCGTCATGGCAATAATTTAGAAATTCTACACTAGTCTATATATAATAAAATTGAAATTCTGTTTTTTTTTTTTTTTTTTTTTTTTTTTTTACACATAAATATCATTGACAGGTACTATGTAAGAAAAATACAATTTGTTAAATTTCAGTGGCAGGGATCAATGTCATTGATCTCTTTCAAACAATTTCATTATCTGTTGACAAATTGTATTAAATAAAGAATATTCTTGTTTTCAAAGCATACATTTTAGAGTCATTATAAGAAATATTTCAGGTTGCATACTCTCGTAAGGTATACTGCTGGTGTTTTTTTTTTGCTTGTTTTCTAATTATAGCTTAATGCAGGAGAAAAACAAAACACACATGTAAACCATCCCCTGAAAGAGCTGAGTAGGTCACTACAACGTAAAACCAACATTTTAGCATATTACCCAGAGAACTAACATTTTTGCTTGTCAAATAAACTTCATCATTTTTCATGATACTGCAGAACAATCTCTGGAATTGCCATTCAGAGCAGCCACAGATTGAGACATTGCAACTGCATATAAAGTAAAACCAACAGGGCAAAGGCTATTCAAACAGGAAAAAAAAAATCTCTGACTAATTCATTGAAGAAACTCTTTCAGAGGTTTACTTCTAAACAATAAGCCTATAGTGCTACTCCTCCACACCACTCTATCCAATTGAAAGTTTTGCATTTGCAATGCCATGCAACCATCTGTAACTAAGTGATGGTGAATTGGTCTGAATAAAAAAAATCTTGATTCACCCATCCCTCAAGCTGAAGCCTTTCAGACTCCAATTTTGCAAGAAAGTAATGGTATCTGTCAAAAGCCATTCTTCACTTTTATCTGAAATATGAACTAATTAATCTTTATGACTTGTATTCCTGTTTCATTAATTTAATAGCTCACTCTTAAAGTTTGTCCGTAATTTGCTCCTCTTGTGTTTCATTTACATTTGTTCTTTCCTTTGTTCTCCTACCAAAACCTTGAAACAGCATTTTAAAGCTAAAACTCAGACACAAGGCACACTACTTGAGATTCTGTTGGACAAACATACCAATTATTTCTGAAGTCTTTTCTAATTTAGAAAATATTTGGGTTTCTGGTGTGAACGTTTAAAATAAGTAGGTCAAGCAATCTTCTTAGTGGGACTTAACGAATTTATACTATTGGATGGCTTCTCTCTTCTCAAAGGGAAGTAAAGTAAGCCATGCAATCAGCAAGATATTCAAGCCGTGGATGTTTTAAGAGTTCATCTAAGGAGATAAAGGACTGTGACAGTGACTTGTTGTGACTGATTTCATGCCCAAAGTCTGAAAAAGGAAGAGTGCAGGAAATATTTATCTTCAAGTTGTTTGGGAAAGGGGATACAACAATATAGCATATTAAAAGTGAGTCAAGGACAAGCATACACCTATCTGCTTCTGCTGTAAGTAAAGTTGTGAGCTGTTAACCAAGTAAATGGCATGCAGCCATTTGTTCCTTACCACGATACTCACTGCTTTCCACTTCTACAGTTGTTAAGCCAGTATTTTAGTAGCAGAAAATGAGAATTTTTATTTCTTGAAATAGTCAATAATTGTAATAAAAATAGTTTAATGAAGACTAAAAAAACACATGAATGAACCACACTCTGCTTTAAAGTTATTATCAAATGCACAGAAAAGCATACAATGCTACTTCTGAGTTTAAAGATGACAAAGAATAATGACATAGATTTAGGCAGTTCTAAACTGAATCACAGTCAATGTGTTGTTAATATTTCAACATGTTTATTAAGGAATTCTTACAATAAAGAAAACTGTTTTCCTTTCCAAGTATAGAGTCACTCATCCTTAAACCTCCACTCTGTTTGTCTTGTATAGTTTTGATATGAAAGCCTCATGGGACATTAAGATCTGAGCTTCAAATATAAAGTTCCAATGTTTCCTCACATCCTACCAGTTTCTAGTCTAACTTCATATGGTTTGATTTTCATGCTCAAAGTAGCTGAACATAGTTTTCCCTTCTGCCCTTTCATTTTTCATACCCATGCTTCTCTTCTAACCTTTATCTAATATTTCTTTTTGGTTATTCCCATGTCTCCCATGTTCCTTTATTCCCCCCACTTCAAATAATACCGTTATATCCAGTACATGTATGATCACTGCTGTGCTTCTTAAGGAGGATGGTGCCATAGTGATTCTAAATAATTAATTGCCATCAGGCATGCAATATGTAATGCATCTGAGATGGTCTTAGCACTGTCAGATTTGGCTGTCCTTCCCTCCCCACTTCCTCTGCTAAAAAGTGAGCCATTGCTTTGGTTTATTTAATTAAAAAAAATTGAAATTAACACAATCCAAAAATATATTAAGCTGTGTTACAACTGTATAAAGGAACATAGTCTGAGCCACAAAATTAGAATCAATGGAGAAGTACAAGACTCTTGCAAACGTTTCAACCTGCCTGAAGATCCAGATAAGTTATTCCAAGTATGTTTTTCTGCAGCTTTATACAAATATTGACACAAAAACATGCTTAGAAATTCTGATCCGATCATAAGACTCCAGGAGCTCAGAACACATCTATTACAGCCCTGAGCCTGTTAAACTCCAATCCCAAAAATGCATACCAATCAGATTTTCAAGTGGTTTCAGTGTGATTCAGAATTATCTAGGAATTCACACAATCTGAGCCTGCTTGGGGTCTTTGTAAGCAGGAGATGGGAATACTCTTTTGGTCACTTAGTTACCATGCACACATGGCAAGTACATTTCAGACACCAGTTACATTTTACACATAGCAAACCAACTGGCTATATTTTTAAATATTATCAAAGAAGGAAAAAAAGATTATTTCAAAGAAAGAATTGTTTGCTTAAGATGTTTTATATAAGATCGGTTCTCATGTGTGTCCTAGAAATAGAAAATATTTTTAAATGATCATTTTTCTGAAGCAAATGAAGTTTGACTTTTTCAGTATTCTGTGTTTGCTAACAGAAGGAATGCTTAAATTACTACATAAAAAAATGAAAGTGGATTATTTTTCATTCCCCACACACAAAAAAAAACCAACAAAAAACCCAACAACAATAAAAAACTTTTACCAGTACGGCACATTGCAGAAATATAAAACTCAATTTCATTTTTTTTTGAAATGAAACCTAATTGGCCTATCTAGAGTATTTAGTCAACGAAGTTGAAACAAATTTGAAAGTAAAAATTTATCACTGTCCTCATATTTAATGTAAAAACAGTTTCCAATTATTCCAATTCCTATATTAAACACGTACCCAAAGGGTACCCAGTGGTAAAGATCTCTCTTGTGAGTCCCCATCTGAAGTACTGCAACCACGCCTGGGACCCTCAGCACAAGAAGGACGTGGAACTCTTGGAGCGGGTCCAGAGGAGGGCCACTAAGATGATCAGAGGGCTGGAGCACTTCTTTTATGAGGAAATGTTGAGGGAGCTGGGTTTGTTTAGCTTGGAGAAGAGACGGCTCCAGGGAGACATCATTGTGGCCTTCGAATACTTGAAGGGAGCATATAACCAGGAGGAGGAATGGCTGTTTACATGAGTAGATAGTGATAGGACAAGGGAGAATGGTTTTAAACTGAGACAGGGAAGGTTTATGTTAGATATTAGGGGAAGTTTTTCACACAGAAGGTGGTGACACACTGGAACAGGTTGCCCAAGGAGGTTGTGGATGCCCCATCCTGTGGCTCTGGGCAGCCTGGTCTGGTGGTTGGTGATCCTGCACATAACAGGGGGGTTGAAACTAGATGATCGCTGTGGTCCTTTTATACCCAGGCTGTTCTGTGATTCTATGATTATACAGCCCTTGCTATTTGCTTCTTTTTGAACTCACAAGTTTATCACTACTTCACTTTCACAAGTGGCTGGGTATGTGGCAGATCACTACAGTGTGAAAAGACCTTCATACAAAAAAATCCTGCTAGCTTCATATCTACAAGAAATAATTTCTGTATTGTGTAAAATATTTTCAGTAAAGGTACTTTTTGCTTGAATACATATTTTTTGGGCATAATACTCAATCAGGTTTGAGGAAGTCTGTTGCAAAAAGTTGAAACAGTGGCGCAGAACTTTGAAAAAAAGAATGTAACTCAAAATTGTCTTATTTTCCTGAAATGTAGTAAATTACACTTACTTAACAGACTGAAATAAAATGAAATGAGTATCTGAAACTTCTTTTTCCATATGGTTCCAGACAGTCATCATCTTTCAGCATATTACAGTGGATACTACACAGAAAAAATACCTTATTTTCTTTAACTAGGTAAGATTTTCTCTGTCAGAGTTGCTATAACTTTAAAGACATTTCTCAAAGTGATTTATTTTGTAAAACAAATTGAATACACTGGAAACTCACTTAATCAAAGAAATTTAGTAAAATTTGATGCATTCACACCGAGAAGAATCTTCTGCTTGAAAAAGATGGATTTAATATTTCTATTGGTTTGACAATCTTTTAACCTACTGCATATATATTCTGTCCTGTATTACCTTCTATTGCTTCTGAGGTATGCATTGTTATCTTGCATCTATATTACTTGAATTGCAAAATTAAAAAATAAATGAAAAAAAGAAAATTCAACCATCCAGACACAAACCTTGTAGGCAGGGTACAGCAGCCATCAGCCGTCAGCCTGACTTGAGTTTCATAGCTATCCAGTGGGCAAACCACTTGCTGAACAGGAGGGCATTCCACTGTGCTGCAGTCCACACTGAACACTATGGAGGAAGGGGAGAAGATTCCTTTTACTCATGCTTTAAAAGTTTTTGGTAAATTAATTCACTTTAGGCAATCAGTTATGCATCAGTCTTCAAATTTACATCAGAAAATGTATCTATCGACTGCATGCTTGGTGGGTAACATTGGAAAAAAGGTTTCCATCCTCTTTAATATTCACTGTTTAAAATTAGGGACTCAGTTATCAAATAATGTCACTTAGTAAGAAAATTATAAAAGTTGTACAAGCAAAATCAAGTAGTCATTAAATTAGTGAATAACATTCATTACTAGAAATATACTTGATTATTAAGAGTGTCTTTTTTCCCACAGTTTTAGAAACAATTAAAAATAATATTGTTTCATTTCTTTCCCGGTTAAAACCTTTTTAAAGAGTGAAACTCCTTTTTTTTATAGGAAATAGATAAATAAAAAAGATACACTGGATTTGTGTCTGCACATGCACACTTCATTTTTAAGGCTTATGTTGTTGTTTAGTTATTTATATACAGTGAAACAGAAATGCAGATTATTAGATCCATCTACATCGACAAGATGAAGAATTCCTCAGAATAAAGAAAAATACCATGCTATGTCAAAGTACTGGTCTGTCTAACCAGTTATCTCCAATGGTGGCAAAGAGAGATGTTAGGGACACCATTTATGGCACTCCTTCCTCTTCCACCAGCCTCCAAAATCATTTGGATGTACTCCTCAAACTCTCATACACAACTATGTACCTGTTGTGCATCAACTTGTCTAACTCTTTTTTTCTGAAAATAGTTGCTCTGTAATCTCCTGTGGTAGCAAGATCCCACCATTCACTATTCTTTCACACAGACCTTGCTAGTACCAGAATTCTCTCTAATTCTTGTTAGGATTAGTAGGATTTGGTGAACAATGGATCTACAGTGAACTTATCCATCACTCTCAGAATTTTAGAATCCACACTCATATGCCATCTGAGCATTCTCTCCATATTGGAGATATCTGTTATTACATTATTAAGCTAATCATGGAATTGTTGAGGATGGAAAGAACCTCTGAAGTTCAGCTGGTTTAACCACCCTGCTCTAACATGGTCACCTAGACCAGGCTGCTCAGGACTATTCCCATGCATCAGTGTGACTTCCACTGAGTTCTCTCCTCTGCAGGCTAAGCATTCCCAGCTCTGTCAGTCTTTCCTCAAAGGACAGAGTTGAAGAGAGGTAAAAGATTGGAAGCAGGAAAAAAAAAAATGTTCCTGCTAATTTCAGATTTAAATTGGTTTCTCAAAATTCAAAAAGCATTTAGCTTAACTTTCCAGCATGCTGACAATAATGTAAGGTAACAGAACAATCTATAATCATATTCTTTATTACTTAAAAAGTTTTCCCCAGCTTAGCTGCATTATCATTCTAACAAATGAGACAGTAACCATTTACCATTGAAATACTAGTTTTGTTTTCAGGTCTTACATTGGCTCCAGCAACTATCTGAAGTGTACATTTCATGAACAAGTTGAGGGTTAGAAAGCTAATAGAATGATAAATCCTGTTTAAATAAAATTATTTTTTCTTTACTAGAAACATTAAGCTTTAGACATCTAGTTTGACTAATACATCACCGTAAGAACTCAAACGTTGAAATTTCCTATTACTGAAGTTGCACTCAATGTTTATGAATCTTCAATTCATGCATTGAATTTGTAAATCTTATTAGTTACTTCTTTTTTTTTTTCCTATAAAAATGTAAAGAACGTAGCAGAAACCCTATCAAGATTGTAAACCATGCCTCACCTCTAGCACTGTGCAACCACTTCTGTAAACTACAAAACCTGGGCTCTCCAATCATAAAACTATAAATACTAGGAGAAAATAACTTCCTAGTAAAATATATTAACACAATTATTTGAAGTTCCACCTTTACATACTGCACTAGCTTCTCTAAGAATGGCATACATAGTACAGAGATGAAATACCAATAGCTGCCTGCACGTCTAAAGGCCGAAAAACAAGGCAGTATTTGCACCCAGTGCAACACTGGCTCAGCATAGGGAAGGCTTTGTGTTTTTTGATAGTTTTTTGGTTTGGTTTTCCCAGAAGTAAAGGTTTCCTGAAGTTCTTTTCTAAGAGTACAAAGCCAACATCTTCAACAGCCAAGAAGCATCACACAACACCCTTCACTTTCAGATCAAGATGCACTTAAACTCTTCCCTCATTAATAACATAACACAACCTAACTACATTTGGTAAAGTTAATTACATTTTCTCTTCAAAAGAAGAAGGAAAAACAAAAAACACAAAAGCCACACACCTCCTTCATCCCCTAGACTTTTCCTGAAAAAAATCAGGATCCTGAAATACGCTCATGTATTATGTTTATAATTTAATTTGTTTTTGTCTTTCTTTGACAATCCATCATCCTTTTTACACTTCTTCACACCTTAGAACATGATAAACACAACAGAAAAGATAACATTCCCAGACTTCTAGAGCAGTTCTCTCACTGACTTAGTGACTTCATTAACTTCACTGTCACATATACTTCCTAATATAGCCCTGCTGCTTTTACTTATTTTTACTGAGTAGTTCTAATTGCTTTCTTCCTTACCATCATTGCCATTATCAGTCATTTCTCTGTTAGAAAAGTATCTGAGACTTTTCCAATTGATTTTCATAAGTCTTTTTCCAAACTCGTCTTCTAAGTCCTTTCAAAATCACCTTCTAAGAAAGCATCTAAAAAAACCCAATCAAGGAACAACCATATACTATTTTTGAACACAATAAAGAATGAAGTTATATAACTATACTTCCTACTATCTATAAAACTTGATTTTTCTGACCTCTCCTTCGTGCAAGCCTGTAAAAATTCCAGGCATAATTTTCAATGCTGAAGCTGTACCAGGGTGGAGCACAACTTAGATCCCTATGCATCATCTAGAACTACTTATTAAAATTTACTGCAAGCTCAGAATTTCCATCAGGCTTGAACTACTCAGAAAGTTAAATTCTCTGCAGAAAAATGCCAAATGGTAACATCTGATTTATAATTCCAAGTGTTTTAAATGAAGATTAGGTACCAGGAAAAAAAAAAAAAAAGGTCATTTCAGTTGGAGTAATTCCCATGCCATGAATTGATGCTAGAGATGATAAGTAATCATTGGTTTCTTCAAAACCTTGATTTGTTTAGCCCAGAGCAGAGGAGCTGAGGGGAGGCCTGATGGCGGCTGCAGCTCCTCACAGGGAGCGGAGGGGCAGCGCTGAGCTCTGCTCTGTGTGACAGCGACAGGGCCCGAGGGAACGGCATGGAGCTGTGTCAGGGGAGGGCAGTGTGGGGTTAGGGAAAGTAGGTTGCTTATGACACCAGATCAGCGTGTCATCTCAGAAATGAGCATAGGAAGAACATCAAAACAAAAAAGACTTGCAGGCAATAGGTAACATAACTGTTATGAAATGCTCGGTGCAACACTTGGTAAGAATATCTGTCAAGTTAATCTGGAAGTTAGTAGACTGGTACTACTGAGATACTAACTTCATTTTAATCATATACTAATGCCTCTGATCACTGTGATCATTATATTGAAGAAAAATTGGCACATTTTGAAACGAAAATTTTCATTTTTATACAAGCATTTAATCTTAAGGCAACCACTTCCTATTTTCCTTTCAGTAACTCAATTACCATAGTATATTTACATGTGTAATTCTCAGCAGAAGATTCCAAATTCAAATGTCACTGTAAACTGAAAAGCAATGTTGTATTATTTAAGGAATAGAAACAAACACAGTTCATGCTTTAATTCCATGAATGCTTTAGATTGACATAAAACAGCACTGTTACCATAGGAAGCACACCTCTAGCTTCTGGCACGCTCTTTCCACCAGAACCTCCTCACTGGTCGAGAACCTCTAAAGAGGCTGGTTACTGAGACACAATAGTGAAGGAAGAGCAAGCACCCTGATAGCAGAAGTTACAAAACTTCAATTTTAAGTCTGTAGTAAAATATGCAGAAATTTTCTCCTTTCCACATGTAAACTTCATAGACATGCTAACGCTATTCAACAGAATGGATAATATCAGTTCCATAAGAAACGCTGCATGAACAGTTAACCACATGTGTTACTACACGTTTGGTAGTACATATATACACACGGAGAATAAATGGTACAAAACAGTATAGGAAAAGATGGAACAGACAAAATGACCTCTAGTGGTCTCCTCCAAAAATTATTCTAGAATTCTATGACTACGAATACAAAACTTTAATAAACAAGATATTCCAGTGCTTATTCTCACATATAAAAAAGAAACAAATGAAAACTTACTTGAAACCACAGTGATTAACATGACACAAAAGTTTAGATAAGATAAACCATGTCATTTTTTCTGACTTGCAAATTTGAAAAAAATAAAAAATGAGGAAATATTAAAAAAAGATTTCATATTCAGATTTTCTTCACATACCAAGAACAAATTATGTTGTTTGTGAAAGCGCCTTGAAAACAAGGCTCCTCTGAAAACTGAGCAATGCTTCAGATTTGCAAAGATTTGCCACTAAAAAAAAAACAATCTCAAAAAGTCTTCTGTGGTAAGGAATTTGGAGTCTACTAACTCTTGCCAACATTAACCTACTCCTTCCTTTGTTTTTTGGTCTTGTGTTGACTTGCTTTTTTTTCCCACAGTCTTCCCACTACTCCAAACAGCCAACAGAATAAACATCTACATCAGGGTAAAACGAAAACACACACAAAGAAAAATGCAACTAGTACAGCTGCTGAAGTCTAACTTGACAAAAATTGGGCTACACAGCGACTAAGAAACCCACCTGTAACAGTACTCCTTTTTTTCCTAAAACCAAGGCACTGTGAGCAAGTTGTCAGTACCTTAATCATTTCATCTTTCATTAACCATTTTTGCCTGGACACCAAAGAGTGCTCACTTCACTTAGTCCCTCACCAACACTTCATTCAGTTCCTGTTGTCTTCAAACCTGCTGGCCTCCTTCCCTATCCCCCCAGCTCCACTTTTCCATATACCCAAGCCAATGCAGACTCCTACTACTATTCTCTTTCACTTCTTGATCCTTCAGGGATTGTTGCCTTTTCTAGGCTCTTACCATACACCATATAAATTACTCAACTCTGCGAGATAATGAAAATATTTTCTTTGATAACTAAGGTCTCAGACTCTCTGCTCTCTGTTAGCCCCTCAACCTAACCACCTAACCACCAATGCAAAGCAGTATTCTTCCCTTAAATTCTCTTAGTTTCCTTCTGGATTGTCTTCAAAGCCTCTGCTCCTCTACCCTCCTAAATGCATATCCCTCCAGTAAGAAATGCAAAGCACTTCAAAAAAACAATATGTAGCCACATAAACCCATAATGTAAATGAATTACCACATAATCCAACAATTGTAGTTTCTGTAGTAATCCTACAGAAAGATCTTGGTTCACAGCATTTCACAAACTAAATAAATCTCAAGAGTTCACTCTTAATCCGCATTTTGTATGAAATGCCAGAAGTAATTATTTCACAATTGTACACTAAATACAAAGACTCATCCAAAATAGTACTCTGCCCTTGAACGTCACATTTTAAGGAAATGTGGACAAACTCAGGAAAACTTAGAGAGGAACAACATAGCACTAAGTACAAGGAAACTATACCTTAATAAATGTCTACTTGGTAATCCTAGATGAAAGACAGTTGAGGTTGACAAAATGTTCTATTATATGTGTTATTATAAACTTTGTTTTCTCCCTGTTCAAGATAGAGAATTTACTTAAATTTCTACATAGGAAGATTTGCACTGGACATTAGGGAAACCACAAGCAGAGACAAAGACTGCACAACATTTTGAGGAATATTTGAGAAAATGCATAACTTAGCATACTCAAACCTATTTACATATGAAATTTTGGATGTTACTATTTTATATGCCTACTTTCATTCCTTTATTTTTATTACTCATCTTTACCAAAGTCTGGATCAAAAAGAAAAGTGAATTATATCTTCCACTTCACCAAGAATAATAAATCACAAGAAAGGGTTGTTTGTGCTCCCATGCAATGGAAAATGGGTGATGCTGCAAATGCTACAAAGCCTTTGATTATGGTCTTCTGCAGACCTCTTGCTCTATATTGTTAAGGGCCACAAATATCACCTAAATTTTGAAGATCATTCAGATACTACATAGGTTTTATCAGATTCAATTATATAAATAGGAGTACTTGTTAGATAGATTAAAAAAAAAAAAAAAAAAAAAAAAAAAAAAGGTGTCAATTTTTACCTGGTTTACATTCATAGAGATCACAGCATTCCCCTGGCTTTCCTGATGCCTTAGAAACCAATATATTCAAATAGCCAGGCTGGCAAACCTTCCTCAAGCAGCCTGCAGGATTACACACACAACGGCTTGGGAGAGGACAGCATTCCCCGGGAGGAGCATAACCTTCAATCAAGATGGAATCTTCTGGACAGCGAGGAGAAAACTGGACCTCACAGCGAGCCTTGGAGCAATCAGGTTTCTCTTCTGAAAAGGAGAGAAAAATCAGCATGCCATATATGTCAGTAAACACTACTCTGAAGCTGTAAAGACGAGCTCAGATAAAGTTCCCTTTATTCTCACTCCCCCAAGACAGTAGAAAGAAAGAAAATTGCTGCTTCTAAATTGATGAGCAAAAATTATGGAATATGCTTATCTTGGTATTTGCAAGATGGCAAGTATGTTATAAAATATAATTCTAATATATATATAATTCATGCCATCTGTGTGATTGCTGAACTCATTCCTCAGAAACAACAGCAAAACTACACATTTGGCCATGACATTAGGAACCAACTTGTCAAACAACGCACAGCCCCAGTGCTCATATCTACACCTTTAGTACTCATAAGACTGCACATTATGAGTAATTGGTATTAGTTGATCTAAAGTGAGATTCCACACACTCAAAAAGCTGTCTCAAAAAGTAAAATTTCCCTGTATATGTTCTCAGTGCTTATATTCAAAGTGTTGTTCCTATGACTTCAGTGGCTTGAAAATCAGAAGAGAAAAAGTTTGACTACTAAGAAAAAATGAGGCACTGGCTGCTGACACACAACAATAAAAGAAGGGATACTGAAGAACAAATTCAACACATTGGTTGTAAATAGTGACAAACTGGACAACACCAACATAGACAAACCAACAATGAAGACACAAGGTTCTTGGAAAACTAGGTAACAGTCTTCCAAAACTTGAAGTCAAGATTCTTCATAATCAAAACCAAAATCTCAGTTCCAACAGAAAAATTGTGTTGTGCCCTCCAATTTCCTAAGCTACACTAGGAAAAAACAAATCACTCCTGTGACTGATTTACTCTGCAATTCACAGTAAAAAGCTTTCTCATATCCAAGAGGATCCCACTTTGCTTAACACACCTGACTACTGTTAGATAATAAGTGAATACCAGACACTCAAAAAGACAGCATTTTTAGGTTGAGATAGTGACAATTAATACAAAATAATAACTTAAATGTGACACTAGTTAGTGCTGTAATTCTTTTCTTAAAAACAAACAAACAAACAAAAAAACCAATCCACACTATTTGGGGATAAATTTGCGTAGGTATATATTATACTTCTAATCATAGAATCACAGAATGATTTGGGTTGGAAGGGACCTTGAAGCCCACCCCGTCGCTACCTCCTGCCTTGGGGGAAACCAAATCAGGCTGCCCAGGGCCCCATCCAACCCAGCCTTGAGGGATTGGGTATCCACAGCTTCTCTGAGCAGCCTGTGCCTATGTTTCACTGCCTTATGAGTAAAGAATTTCTTCCTAAAATCTAACCAAAATCTCCCCTGTTTTAGTTTAAAACCATTCCTCAATACAGTATGTATATATATGATTCAAATATATAAACATAATTTATGTACATATAATTTATATTAAATTTGTATGTATCTATGGAAAACACACACACACACACACGTATATATAAAGAGTTAAGATGAAAAACATATATATATATGTATTGATCTGTATTTATATATCTCCAGACTCTTCATATTTGATCAACTTAAGACAGTATTGAAAAATGCAAGTTTTGTCAAACGACTGGGAATTACAACTCTAGATGCATTTATTCTGAGCACCAATGCAAAGCCTACTGTTGGAGTTGCTAAGATCATCTAGGAAAAATGTAAAAAAAAAAGAAAAGGAAAAGGATATTTCAATACTAGGCATGTGAGAAGTACTGCTGGCAGTGGAAAGAAGAGAAAAATGTAAAAAAATAAAAAAGAACTAAGTATATATGAAACGTTATTAACTTCAGAAGTATTTTTCCTGTTATTGTTCTTAATGCAGATAACTATAACAGAATACAATGGGACTCTTCAAACTGCTATTGTTCAATATGACTTGCACCATTTTAAGAGAAAATGAATTAAAAACGACCAACCATCTTTCAAATATCTGTTTGTGTTTTAATACCACATAACTTAGAAATTAACTTAAGATTCTGTTTTTAATCTAGTGTCACTATTACTTTTTGTTCATCATTCCCCCCTTCCCCCCCAACAAAAACAACAGCAACAACAAAAAAAAAAACACCCCAAATCCCTTCCTACTGCTACTCATAAATATCCTGCTTCCAAATCATATTCTCAACTTATGTGCGTGGTAAAAGATTACCATTCCAGTACACAAACAAAACTGAGTAAAAGGAATATCAAGTAGAATCACCCATTCTGTATCACACAGCAGACAACTTTCACTGAGGTTCTCTAACTCCAGGCACATTTAAATCTGCTGTAACAAGAGCCCCTTTCTGCAGACCAGGGCATGATTCAGTCATTCCTTTGAATGTGTTTTCTGTTTCTGGGAAGGAGCAAGCAACCAGAACAATATGCAGTTGGCAATATTTAAATTATTCTCTTGTAGAATCTCTACTTCACACTTCTGGAAAGAATCTTACCTAAAACGTGGAGCCACACAGTTCACACATCATCATTTCTATATTTTAGTCAAAACTTTGTAATGAATTAGCACCTCACTTGTGTTGCATTGTCTGAGCCTGGCACTCATGGCATTATTAAAAGGTCAGAGCTGTTTTTTGCTGCATTTCAGAAAAAGCTTTTGAGGGATCCTCATTTTAATAAAAAGCTTTAATAGAAGGCATTACTCTCAAGAAATCATTGAAAAAAGGTTCAAGTTTTTCTTTCTGTTATCTCAGAAACTCACAAACTTGCAAATATATGCATCTTTATTTACCGGGATCAAGTTTTCTATATGATATATATTTCTAAAACTAATTGTCCTTAATTAACTTACTAGCTTAACTTTTCATTGCTTGATCTAAGGAGGTGTCAAAGTAATATTTGTCATCTACTTTGTGAACAAATTAAAATACAGCTACAAATGTCACTGCTTTAACAGGATTCCTAATTTAATCCCATTACATACGGATGCTTAAGATTTCATCAAAGAAGAGGAATTGCTTGTTTAAAAATTATTCTCCTTTACTAACAAACACTTCCAGCTCTTACAAAGGAAATATATAAGAAACTGTTTGTCAGAGCAGGAAAAAAAAAAAAAAGAAAATATAAGAAATTACCTCAAAAAGTTGAAAATGTCATTTCACAGAAAACAACTGTGAAGTACTTCACCAGAAATATTTTTTCCTACATTATCCCTTTTCTAGAGAGTAGGGACTACTGAAAAGTGGCTTCTTAACAGACCACAACAGAAACCTTCTCTGTGAAGAACTGGTCTATCTCTGAGAAGTTGTCCATTACACAAGTCAGGATCTTCCTGACCGGCATCTTCAAAGTCAAACAAGGTATCAGTTTTAAGGCTCTGTTTTCTTACTCATCTGATTTAACTTACTTTTGTAATAAACAGAACGTACATAATTGTTACAAATTTTCCCATCCTTTCTGTGCTCAGGCACAGGAGAATTTCATTTTTCAAAGTAGTCAATTGAAAACCTAACACGTTCTGATTTTCAGTAAAAGGGACAATTACATACATGACTATGAAAAAAATCACCATAGACATGCATCACATTCTTCTAATTGATAATGTAGACTCTCTCACAAGATCTATTTCATATAACCATAATTATATTTCTGAAGAAAACTTAAAGCAGATGTCTCATTTCTAATTTAGAGTTTATACTTGAGACACTTTAACACTAATTAAAATAAATTCTTATAAAACATTGTTCAACCTCCACCCTTGAAGCAACTGATAGGTCTCCTTTAATAAGTTGACTGCTTTAGCAAGAGCTCGTAGAACTCACAAATTGATTTAATGAAATGAAGTTCTATAGGCTGTTTGCTTTTCACAGAATTGAACAGTTAATGGAAAAAGCACACACAGTATAATCACATTTCAGTCTCTCCTTAAAAAAAAAAAAAAAAGGAAAGCATAAAAAAGGAGAGCAATTAGTTACTTGTCAAGGATACATCCGTCAAACTTCTCATAAATTATATCGGAAGAGATAACCTACAACCCAATTAAAAGAAAAAAAAATCTGTTCTCTGAGAATGTTGCTTTTACATTCAAGAAAATAGCATTTCTACACAAAGAAAAGACATATCAGCTTGCTGATGAGCCCTCTCTGTGGGATACATTCTCTTTATAGTCTTTCATCAAACACCACCGGAGCTAGAAGCATTCTGTAACACCGCAATCTCACCAGTCTGAGCCAACAAAGAATCTCAAAAAGATAGAGTCTGGATCAATCAAGCTCAAAGTTACACAAACTATCTATTCAGAGGCAGCCAATCTTCTCAAGAAATTCGGAAATATCTCTGGAAAGATAACGTTTTTAACAAAATGAACACAATCAGAAGAACTGGCATTTTGATGAATTCAAAGTAAGAATTCTATCCTTGGAAACAAACAAACAAACAAACACACACCTAAAAAGGCAGCCTTAATGACCATTTAATAAAATAATCACTAAAGTTAGCAATGACAATGCTTTTTTTTTTGTATAAATTATTTCATATTTCAAGACAAACTTCACTTTCGGTGGGTCTGAAGACTCAGGTTTACCTGCTGTAACTTAGCAATTCACCTGCAAAAAGAACCTGCTGTTACTAAGTATATGACAGAGGAAAATCTACAAACATCAATAATAACTGAACCATCAAAGTAACGACATGCTGTGTGCCTTAATATTAAAAGAGGGATCATACATTCAAGATGTCAGAATTTCTCAACAATGATTTTCATTTCTATCCAAATTTTATTTCAGAAAAACACAGAAGCAGCATCTCAGAATTCAAGGCACGTTCAAGATAACCCCTCAGTGAAACCATAGCATATTTGTAAAGTGCATGAGAGCAAGGAGAGCAACCTTCAAAAAATAGAATAGAAAGAAGAAATCAAGATCTGGCTTTTTATTTGTTTGTTTTTCACCTTAAAAATTACGAAGAGTCAGTTGGAAAGCAACAGCTGTAAAGGTGGAAGCAGAAAACCACCTTTTGCAGTTTCTTCATTTGAAACGCGCTTACATATTTTTAATGTCATTTCCCCTGA